TGCAATCTTGGCTCACTGCAACCTCCACCTCCTGGATTCAAGTGATTCTCCTGCCTCAACCTCCCAAGTAGCTGGGATTACAGGTGCCCGCCACCACACCCGGCTCATTTGTTTTTTTTTTGTTTGTTTGTTTGTTTGTTTTGTATTTTTAGTAGAGATAGGGTTTCACCGTGTTGGCCAGGCTGTTCTCAAACTCCTGACCTCAGGTGATCTGCCCGCCTTGGCCTCCCAAAGTCCTTGAATTACAGGCGTGAGCGACCGCGCCCGGCCTCAGATTTTGAGGCTAGTGGGTTGCTCTCTGATAAATCCTCCTAAGACTCGGGCTGGTTCCCAGGTCAACGGTGTGCAGGTCTACACAAACCTACCCCCAAAGTCCAAGGAAGCTGAGAGGCCAAAGAAAGAGGCTGACAAATCCAGTTTCTTAGAAAGAAACATTTTATCGGGACTTACAAACAGAAGCCATGATATCCCAGGAGGCCACAAGATGAGATAGTGGATGCCCTCGCACCATTATCTCCCAGACCCACTGCTTATGTACCCAGGCAGAGGAATGTGTAGGACAATTGCTTAAAGGCAGGATTTACCATAAGTACCTGCTCTTATGTAAGAAAAGTAGATAGCATAGAAATCTCAGAGGCCTTCCTGGAACTGAGGTTAATGAGAAGTACATGGTAGATTAGCATTCAAGATGAAGTTGCTTTGGCCTCCACACTAAGCCCGTTTATGCCAATCGTATTGGTTGTTATAATGACGTACTTTAAATAAATACTACCTGAGTCTATGAAGCCTAAGTACAAAAGGAAAGAGAGCTATGGCTTATATGAAAATGAAGATGAATGCTCTGGAAAGACTGAGTCTCTTAAAAATGTTTTTAGAAAGTTGTGGCCAAGTCATTGGGGGATGGGGTGGAGATTGTAAACATCTAGAAAGATTTGGGCCAGGTGCAGTGGCTCACACCTGTAATCGCAGCACTTTGGGAGGCCAAAATGGGGGAATTGCTTGAGCCCAAGAGTTCAAACCCAGCCTGGGATATATGGCGAAATCGCAACTATAAAAAGTACAAAAACTAGCCAGGCGTGTTGGTGTGCATCTGTAGTCCCAGCTATTCAGGAGGCTGAGGTGGGAGGCCAAGGCTGCAGTGTGCCTTGATCTTTTCACTGCACTCCACTCCAGCCTCCTGGGTGACAGATCAAGATCTTATCTCAAAAAAAAAAAAAAAGAAGAAGAAGAAGAAAAAGAACCCAACAATTCCATTACCAGGTATATACCCAAAGAATTACAGATGATTCTACTATAAAGACACATGCATACATGTGTTTATCGCAGCACTATTTACAATAGGAAAGATTTGGAACTAACCCAAATGCCCATCAATGATAGACTGGATAAAGAAAATGTAGCACATATACACCATGGAATACTATGCAGCCATAGAAAAGAATGAGTTCATGTCCTTTGCAGGGACATGGATGAAGCTGGAAACCATCATTCTCAGCAAACTAACACAGGAACAGAAAACCAAACACCGTATGTTCTCACTCATAAGTAGGAGCTGAACAATGAGAACACATGAACACCGGGAGGGGATCATCACACACCAGGGCCTGTTGGGAGGTGGGGGGCAAGGGGAGGGAGAGCAGATTGCTTGAGCCTAGGAGTTCAAGACTAGCCTGGGCAAAATGGCAAAACCCCATCTCTGCAAAAAATACAGAAATATGCAGGCGTGGTGGTGTGTGCCTGTAGTCCTAGCTACTTGGGAGGCTGAGGCAGGAGGATCGCTTGAGCCCAGGAGGTCAAGGCTGCAATGAGCTGTGACTACACCATGCAATAAGTATTTGTCCTAATGCTCTCCCTCCCCTTGCCCCCCACCTCCCAACAGGCCCTGGTGTGTGATGATCCCCTCCCGGTGTTCATGTCTAAATGACGGGTTGATAGGTCCAGCAAACCACCAAGGCACATGTATACCTATGTAACAAACCTGCAGGTTCTGCATATGTATCCCAGAGCTTAAAGTAAAAGAAAATACAAAAAACAAACAAACAAAAAAAACAAAGTATTACTATCTTTGTTATGGTATAGAGTCGTACTTTACACATTATAAAGAAAAAAAGAAAGATTTTGACCACATAGTGCATTGTGTATTTGTAAGTTCTTGCTCTACATTAGAGAAATCTTATCTGAAAAGATTAGATGATGCAATGAAGAGGTAGTGTTGCAAGAAGGATGATGCAGAATTCCAGCAAGGAGACCTCTCTCAAAGAACAGAACTTGGTTCTCACATCAAAAGAGGGATTTTTATCTCCAACAAATTATATTTGTGTCTCTTAAGTTAAAGTAAAATACTCTAAATATTTGTAATCTTTTAACTAGCTTTTTGTTTCACCGTCAACGACTCTCCTGAATGCATCAGATAGAAGGACTTTTTCTCTGTGTTTCTTTAAAATGAGAAGCTGGTCTGCTGTCGATGGCCTTTAAATACACCCTCCTCTGCCAAGACATGCTCTTTTTAGGTTCTGGGCACATCGCAGCATATGGTGTTGTGTCGGGTAAGATGAGAGGTGCTGCATTCAGCAAAAAAAAAAAAGGGCAGACTCAGATGTCCCAGAGCGCACCACTGGTTAATGGCTGTTTGGCTTTTGGTTTTCCTCCCAAGAAAATATGGGTGACTTCTCACTTTCACATGTCCCAAAGAGCTGTTACTTAGGAATGCTGACCTCATGGGTGGAATTAAAATGAAATGTTGTGAAATTCTGGTGTGGTGGGCGGGAGCAGATGTGCAGCTCTGGAAAAGATTCTAGGAAGGGGTACATGCTCATCCTGCCCCACCACAACTTACCCAGGAGTTTCTCTTCTGCCTTTAGGAAAGAAGTTGAAAAAGCTGGTCCCATTAGTCACCCTTGCTGGCGGCCTGGGAGGGCTGCATTCCCAAGCAGCATCCCACCGAGGGTCCCCCTGAGAAGGTCACAGCCTGAACCCAGTAATCATTCGCAGCAATGTGAATGCTGTCAGGCATTGCTCGGAAGAAAGCTTAGGAAGGGTTGCGGTTTCTGCCTTTGTGGATTTTGAGCATCAGCATCCACAAAACACACAAATTCAAACACATTAAATAATCGTCCTAAAACTCAGGCATGCCGCATCTGAAAGACACGCTGCTTCCTGACACACTGCCCATTTTCCCACACCGCTGCCATTTCCTTTCCAGAGCAGAAAACCCCACTGGCATCCAAGGGTAAACTGTTCATGCCCCTCTGAGCTCAAGGATCCTTCAAGAGTCCTCTGATAAAAGGGAAAAATGTCCTGATAATCCTAATGGGCTTCTCAGTTGCCAATGGAAATTCGAAAAATGTGAACAATAACAGAGCAAGAAAGATTGTTCAGAGGAGAACAGTTGGCAATAATTTGCCCATGGAGTTTTTCAAAGGCATCCAAATTAAATCATTCTTCATGATGCATTTTGCTCAATATATCTCCTGAATATAAAGAATGGTATGACTTATAAAATTCAGCAATAGCACATATGCACACATTCAATATTTATATTGTTATTTTCTTCATTTGTGGATTGATGAAGTTGAGACACCAGCAAGAACTGGGTTGTCTAAGATGCCTGCTACTTTTGATGGCTTTTGGGGGGATAATCATCACATTTTCCAAGTATCCATTTTTATAATGTAAATGACTAATATTTCAGCCTTCATCAATCATTGTACATTGGAATAAATTGATCGATCAGATCTGCTAGAAGATGGGAGATACTCAATGCAGGACAAGAGGAGCAGGGAGTGGCAGGACACGGTGGCTCACACCTGTAATCCCAGCACTTTGGGAGGTGGGGCAGGCAGATTGCCTGAGGTCAGGAGTTCGAGACCAGCCTGACCAACATGGTGAAACCCTGTCTCTACTAAAAAATACAAAAAAATTAGCCAGGCATGGTGGTGCACGCCTGTAGTCCCAGCTAATGGGGAGGCTGAGGCAGGAGAATCGTTTGAACCTGGGAGATGGCAGTTGCAGTGAGCCGAGATCATGCCACTGCACTCCAGCTTGGGTGACAGAATGAGATTCCGTCTTTAAAAAAAAGAGAGGGAGAGAGAGAAGAAGAGAGTGAGTCTTCTGGTATTAGATTGGTGCAAAAGTAATTGCGGCTTTTAATGGCAAAACCACAATTACTTTTGCACCAGCCATGAGAGGACACACAGAAGGCCCCATCTATGATGCAGAGACCTTCCACCAAACACCTGATCTGCTGGTGTGGTGATCTTGGACTTTCCAGCCTCCAGAAGTATAAGAAATAAATTCCCGCTGTTTATAAATTATCCAGTCTCGGGTATGTTGTTACAACAGCACGAATGGACTAGGACAGAAAGTGTGGACCCAGGTTCCTCTTGCTGCCTTCTGCTCAGGCTAAGTCCTCCCCAGCACGGCTGGGCTGCTGCCCCTGGGTCTCACCTATCACCAAAGAGAAGCTGGACAGGGACTCAGGGAACTTCCAGAAATGCGGTGAGAGCATTTCTTCCCTGTTCTCCTCTCCTGGGGACTTCATGATGATGTATATTCTGTTGAAATTGATCACAAATCTGGAATGATTCCATTCATTTTGTTTCATCATGAATCACAGTACTTGAAACACAGAAAGTAACATAGGGTCATCCTGTTCAATCCTTCTATTTTTGTACCCTCTGCTCCACACTCCCCATACTAAGGAAGAGAATAAAAAATAAAATGATGGACCCACCTATGTATGGCAGAATTTTAGTTCCTCTTCTATTCTTGTCAGCTGCTCTTCATATTCCTGAGTTCACAGGCACAAGTAACTGAACCAGCACTTGGCAAATTGTGGAGACAATTAGCCATTTGTTACTTGTTTTAATGAGCCAAGTGGATAATTGTTTCTGGCTAGAGCCACTGGGGATACAATCAGTCCTCTGCGTTCCTAATTTCTGGGTTAAATCTATGCTAGCGGAGTGGTCCTATCTGAAAAAAGACTGGAATGTTGCTCTTAAAATTGGTAAAATGTCCTATCCCACTGCAAAAATCATCTCGTTACACCAGACCTGAGATTTATAGTTCAATCCTCACTCCCTTTAGGCGATGACAAAGGTGTTCCTTATAAGTTCCTGCAGGACGGCTTGGAGAGTGCAGAAGACAAGGGGACCATTCTCTTCTGCATTTCCAGGGGAGAGGACAAAGCCACAGTCATCTGCACGTGCCTGCAGCCATCTGCATGGCTGTCTCTGCCCTTTTCTCGGGAGAGCGCAGTTTTGCTAATGTACAACCACTGTGAGCTCTCACTAAACTCATCTTTTCTATGTCTCAGCATTGAGGCACTATGGGCGGCTCTCATGGGAAGTCCCTGATAAGCTCTATCAGATAGGCAGCCGGCCTCTGCAGCCTCACCCATCAGGCCTGCTCTGAAAGCAGCTCCTCTCTTGCCAAGGCGAAAGCTTGGATTTACACTGGTTGTTCTGCACTCCGATTAAGACTGTCGTTGAATCCAACGCTTGAAAGCAGCCCTGATGCCCATGATGTAGATTGAGTTTTTGTTCATGGTCTCTCTGTGTGGGGTCTGTAGCCAACACAGATTTGGATATGGCAGTGAGCCCAACTGGAAAGAAGTCCTAATCGCAAGCACATTGGTACTTCTGGATAAGTTTTGGTAAAAGTTACACATTTTTTTTTGTTTGAAGGGTTTGAGGAAGAATAAAGATACACGCAGGCCTCTTTGTTAAGTAGCTGGATTGTTCAATTATGCACAAAAATGGAGAAAAGACTTGCTATGAGTAATTTCAAATGGTTGAACTATAATAAAAGTTGGCATTGGAGGATGGAGGACCCATTTGTGAGCGTGTGCGTGTGTATGTGCACATGTGCAGTAAGGCGGGCGGTTGCAGGGGTACAGAAATCTGCATCATTTGCTGGTGCAACTAACCCTGCTCTTGTGATGTCATTTTTTTTTTTTATACTTTAAGTTCTAGGGTACATGTGCATAACATGTTTGTTACATATGTAACATATGTATACTTTGTTACATATGTATACTTGTTACATATGTATACTTGTGCCATGTTGGTGTGCTGCACCCATCAACTCGTCAGCACCCATCAACTCGTCATTTACATCAGGTATAACTCCCAATGCAATCCCTCCCCACTCCCCCCTCCCCATGATAGGCCCCAGTGTGTGATGTTCCCCTTCCCGAGTCCAAGTGATCTCATTGTTCAGTTCCCACCTATGAGTGAGAACGTGCAGTGTTTGGTTTTCTGTTCTTGTGATAGTTTGCTGAGAATGATGGTTTCCAGCTGCATCCATGTCCCTACAAAGGACACAAACTCATCCTTTTTTATGGCTGCATAGTATTCCATGGTGTATATGTGCCACATTTTCTTAATCTGTCTGTCACTGATGGACATTTGGGTTGATTCCAAGTCTTTGCTCTTGTGAATAGTGCTGCAATAAACATACGTGTGCATGTGTCTTTATAGCAGCATGATTTATAATCCTTTGGGTATATACCCAGTAATGGGATGGCTGGGTATGATGTCATCTTTCCCTGCCCCTCCTCTGTAACCTAAAAGTTGTAGGAAAAGAGTTGTTCACCACATGATGATTAGTTATTCAGCTGTACAAGCTTTTTTCTAGTGTATTCACCTCCTAGAAATAGTGGAATTAAGAGAAAAAGACAACGAACTTTTTGGAGAGTCTTACTACCTACCGGTTTCATCACCTCCATGCCTCATTTAAGTCTCAAGGAGACCCTGGATGTAGGTATTAATATTCTCTTTTTAAAGATGGTGAAATCTGAGGATCAGAGAGGTTAAGTTATTTGTCTAAGATCACACAGCTAGTAGGTAGTAGATACAAGAACTGAATAGAGGCAATTGGTTGCCAAATGCAGAGTTCCGTCTACTATAAAACTGTAACCCAGATGTCAGGGGGATGTTGTCAGTCTTCCACCATTCCTGCAAGTTCCTGGGGGCTCCTCATCATGGTCTCTTCTGTCCTAAATGCCTCTGCGTCTGTGTGAGCTGCCTCTGTTCCATCCCTCAGACAAAACGATAAAAAATCCTAGGCATCTCACCAGTTACATAAAGTATCTCCTCACACCAAGCGTTTTGTGGGGCTAGGAACGTGACTAACAGAAGGATTAGGGGTGGGATCACGAGCTGCAGTGCCTTCCTCCTCTCTCTCCCCCTCCCATTCTGTTCCTTCCCCTGCCACCGGGCTCCTGCTTTAGGAACTTTTGTAGAAGGTAAAGCAGCCACACTGCATGACCTCTGTCCACCCACGCTGGAGCTGGGAGCACGCCGTGGATGAATCACACGGTGAGGTGCAGCTCAGGCTTCTCTCCGGGGGCTTCCGAGCAGCCCCACAGAATTCTTCCAAAATGGAGTCACTCATACTTAAATTCCAGGTCACCAAACTGAAACGACGTTGTTTATCTGACGTCTGAGAATCAGAAGAGAGATGCAGTTGTAAGCTATGTGATAAGAAAGTCCCTCTGCTTTAATCCTTGAGAGGAAGGCAGCCTGAGGTGACCTGATGCCGCCCCACCTCTGGTTTGTCCTGTGCTGTTTCCTTGTTCCTGCTCAAGCTGCCTTACAAAAACCGACTCTTCTGCCCAGGGGGCAAAGCACCTTTTCTATTTCATAGCTGGGATACATCATGACTCATGAATCAAAAGCAAAATGGCAACACATTTAAAGATCGAATTGGCAGAAGCCAACTTTTTTTTTTTTTTAATTTGCTTTTGACAGAGTAAAACTCACCTTGTCCTTGAAGAAAAGCATCAAATGACCTGTTTTGTCTAAATTGCCAAATCCGATCTCATCTACACCACTATGGCAACAAGGCACTGATCAAATTTTCCTTTCTGGACATGGCCAGTTCTAATCAGAGGTGAAGTTTCATCATTTAGGGGAGAAAAAGGATGCAGTATTTGGGACACAATTATACTAAAAAAAACTATTTGTTGTTTACTTGAAATTTAAATTTAACTGGATGCCCTATATTTTATCTGGCAACCCTAAAAAGGAGGCATAAGAAAGGGATTATGGCCCAGTGTGGTGGCTCATTCCTGTAATTCCAGCATTTTGGGAGGCTGAGGCAAGAGGATTGCTTGAGGCCAGGAGTTTGAGGCTGCAGTGAGCCATGACTGCACCACTGCACTCCAGCCTGGGTGACAGAGTGAGATCCTGTCTCAAAAAAAAAAAGAAGCTTAATTTCATGGAGCTAATTTTCTTGCAGGATATGCTTAGAGATTCGGAACCTGATCGTGTTTCCAATGCACAACTGTTTTGGGAGAGAAACAGTTTCTTAAATCCTTTGAGTTCATTTTCCATGAATTAACCAAGTATTGAAAACTTGGGTGAAAAGTGTTGTGCTAATTGGAAACATTGCTATCACAATCTCCAAGTATGGTTTTTAAGTAAGCCTAGGAAATTGCAGTTTGAAAATGCCATTAGCATCAATCAAAATGAAACACGAGCGTGACACCCAGGAAATGCCCTGGGAGGGCAGAGAGGAGAGAAAGAGGAAAAAAAAACAAACAAGGCAAACTTTTCTGCCTCTTTTCTGCCTGGAAGCTCTCTGCAGCTTTGGGCATGTCACAAAGGAGGCTTTCTTGCCTCTCCACCTGCAGGAGCCTCACCTGAGAAGATGGAGAGCAGCTGCATGGGCTCCCGATATCATAAAGTGAAAACAAACCAGCCCTGGGAATATAGACATCATATAAATGTTTAATGTGGCTACATTAACTACATAAAGGCATGCTCATGCTTTGTAGACAAAATAGTTAAAGTCTAATGCATGGCAGCGATCAGCAAATTATTAAATGGTGCAAGTGCTGATGCTCCCGTTTCCAATTTCCTAATGTTCTTAATGCCATTACAGGTAAATGGTGCCGGCCCCATGTGCACAGAGGGATCTTCACTTGCTAATGGTTTTTCCCATTAGCCTTATAAAAGTAATGCATGTTCATGTTTTAAAAAATTTACAAAAGCTAGCTTGAAAAATATAATCCATAATCCCCCCACTCCCCAATACTCACTTCTAACTCCAGATGTATTTCTTTTCTGTCTTTTTTTTTTTTTTTTCTGACACAGTTTTGCCCTTTCACCCTGGTTGGAGCGCAGTGGCGCGATCTTGGCTCACTGCAATCTCCGCTCCCACGGTTCAAGCAATTCTCCTGCCTCAGCCTCCCGAGTAGCTGGAATTACAGGCACCTGCCACCATGCCTGGCTAATTTTTGTATTTTTAGTAGAGACGGGGTTTCACCATGTTGGACAGGCTGATCTTGAACTCCTGACCTCAGGTGATCCACCCGCCTTGGCCTCCCAAGGTGCTAGGATTACAGGCATGAGCCACAGTGCCTGGCTCTTCTCTGTCCTTTTAAAATGTCATTTTGTATAGAGCATACTTTACTGTGTTCTCTGTGTGTGTGTGTGTGTGTGTGTGTGTGTGTCTGTGTGTGTGTGTGTTTTCACATTACCAAGAATTCCTTTTTAACATAATTTTAAATAGCAACAGCATACTGGAAATAAATTAAAGGTATGATTAGCAGAAAAATATATAACAAATGATCCTAAATACTAGCTAGAAGTGAGCCACAAATGCACTGGCTATCTGCTAGCTGAAGTCAAGACATCCACACTACTAGTTCACAGGATTCATAATGTTTGTAAAAGAAAACACAATATGCGCTTCAGCAGAGGGCCGCGTTTTTCAGATATTGATACCCAAGGGGGAATTTCCTCCGTGAGTCCTTCTTGGGAGGATCCATTTATTCTACAAATAAGCCTGTATATAAGAAAGAAGGAGGACACTGGTGGGATTCAGGACACACTGCCTCAAAGTATGGCATGTTAGCACGTTGAATATTTTAAACCAAAGAAATGTAGGCCTGGCGAGATGGCTTATGCCTATAACCCCAGCACTTTGAGAGGCCGAGATGGGAGGGTCTGTTGAGGCCAGAAATTTGAGACCAGACTAGGCAGCATAGCAAAAACTCATCTCTACCAAAAGTTTCCACAAAAAAAAAAAAAAAATGACCTGGGCATAGTGGCATGCATCTGTGGTCCCAGCTGCTTGGGAGGCTGAGGCAGGAGGATCACTTGAGCCCAGGAGTTTGAGGCTGCAGTGAGCCATGATTGCACCACTGCACTCCAGCCTGGACAACAGAGTGAGACCCTGTCTCTTAAAAAAAAAAAAAATTGAGGAGTGGCAGGTGCAAGAACAGTGCTCTGACCTTCCCCTGAAGCAGGCCACAAGACCCTCATGTGAGAGGGGCCCCTCTTCTGAAGACACAGGGGCAAAGAGAGGAATTGAACACACAGGCCTTACTAAATTTTCCTCAGTTTGCTCATCCCGTTTAGCCTATTACATTCTTCCATGGCTTTCTCATCTTTTGTCAAACGTAGCATAAAAACACTCAGGTTTAACTGTTTCTTCTGGTCTGCATGTCATCATGAGGACTCTGTGTTATGTAAAACTTATTAAATAAATTTGTTGGCTTTTTTTTTTTTTTTTGAGACAGAGTCTCACTCTGACACCTAACCTGGAGTGCAGTGGCACGATCTTGACTCACATAAACCTCCAACTCCTGAGTTCAAGCAATTCTCCAGTCT